TTGTCGATGATTCTCAGAAAGCACGAACACCTCATGATATTCCAATCGTTCGCGAGTTTGTGGACGTGTTTCCAGACGAGCTTCCAGGAGGACCGCCTAACCGACAGGTGGAGTTTTCTATCGATCTCATTCCAGGGGCCAGTCCAGTATCCAAAGCCCCATACCGTATGGCGCCTAAGGAGTTGTAGGAGCTTAAGACGCAGATTCAGGAGCTGTTACGACTCGGTTTTATCCGACGGAGCGTGTCACCGTGGGGAGCACCCGTTCTCTTTGTTAAGAAGAAGGACGGATCCATGCGCATGTGTATCGACTACCGGGATCTTAACCGGTTGACGATTAAGAACAAGTATCCGCTTCCCAGGATCGACGACTTATTTGATCAGTTGAGGGGAGCCTGTGTGTTCTCAAAGATTGATTTACGATCAGGCTACCATCAGCTGAAGATTAAGGAGTCAGATATCGCTAAGACCGCTTCCAGGACTCGTTACGGCCATTACGAGTTCGTTGTCATGCCTTTCGGTCTCAGCAATGCGCCAGCAGTTTTCATGGACCTTATGAACCGTATTCTCCATCCCTACCTCGACCAGTTTGTTATTGTCTTTATTGACGATATTTTTATTTACTCGAAGAGCCAGAAGGAGCACGAGGAGCATCTGAGGGTGGTTCTTGAAACCCTCCGACGAGAAAAGTTGTTCGCCAAATTCTCCAAATGCGAGTTCTGGCTCCAGCGAGTATCCTTTCTGGGTCATGTGATTACTCAGACAGGTATTGAGGTGGATCCTTCCAAGGTCTCAGCCGTTCAGAACTGGTCGACACCGAGGAGTCCGTTCGAGGTTCGCAGTTTTCTCGGTTTAGCTGGTTACTATCGCAGGTTTATCGAGGGCTTTTCCAAGATCGCCATCCCTCTTTCCCAGCTGATGAGGAAGTCTGTGAAGTTCGAGTGGACTGATCGTTGTGAGGCGAGCTTTCAGGAGCTCAAGAGGAGGTTAACTTCAGCACCGGTGTTGACTATACCCGATCCTTCTTGGAGTTTCACTATCTTCAGTGATGCTTCGAGACAGGGCTTGGGATGTGTCCTTATGCAGGACGGCCAAGTCGTCGCGTATGCTTCACGTCAACTTAAGCCTCATGAGCAGAATTATCCGACCCACGACTTGGAGTTAGCAGCAGTCGTCCATGCTCTCAAGATCTGGCGACATTATCTTTACGGCGGACGTTGCGAGATTTTCACAGATCATAAGAGCCTGCAGTACATTTTCACGCAAAAGGAACTCAATATGAGGCAGCGCCGTTGGCTCGAACTTGTCAAGCATTACGATTGTTTTATTCTGTATCATCCGAGAAAGGCGAACGTCGTCGCGGACGCCCTTAGCCGAAAGGTGAAGGGTGACTTGACGTACGTCATTACGCAGCAAAGTCCGTTGATTAAGGAGTTTGCCCGGATGCAGCTTCAGGCGATCGATGCACTTCCCATAACCGTTTCG